AGCGTTTATTCGAGTGAACATTTGTTTGAGACGCAAAGACACGGGAAGGGGGGTTGGGTGCCGTGCAAGTTTCATCGCAAATAAACGAGCCGAAAGAACGCTTCCATTCGACGTTTGGTCAAGCGTTGTGGTCGTTGGAGAAGGTGAAGCGAGAGAGGTGTGTCACGGCTTCGAGCGGGTGGAGGGGCTGGCAACTACGGGCGCTGCAGCTAGCGTGCTGCGGGTGAGGGCTAAAGTGCACCGTGCACCTGTGAGGGTAGCGTGACGTCAATGCGCAGCTGCGACGTGACCTACTTGGCACTGTTCCAACACCTGTGGCGAAAAGAACGCGCTGCGGTGCGTTCGAACAGACGCACGTATGTACGGCGTTACACACGTCAGTCATGGAAGAAGCAGTATTCTGGAGGTGCAACTCCACTCCTTGAGGCGACCAGACAACGTCACATTGCCGGAAGGCAAAGTCATGCTGGCGGTGTCCTGCGGTACAAAAGGAAATTGCCGCTGTTTAAATTTCCGAGCGAACCGGTCGCGCGTTGCTCGCGTTCTGCCGCAGTCGTGGAGCGGAGACCGTTTGGATGCGCTCGGGCGGTTGGTTGCCCCCCCACCTCCTGTTTTTTTTTTTTTGTGGTTGCGACTTTGCGCCAGAAGGCGCCAGCGACTGAAATCTCTCTGTCAGAGCATGTTATCTTTGTTTGTTTGTTTTATGCAATGTTATATGGACGCCTGCGGACGGTCGTACGAATGATAGTTCCACCTCCTAATTATTTCTTCCTCCGTGACGTGAGTCAAAGAGCTGTTTCGCATCTAAATGATCCAGAAAGATGGAGGAGGGGGCCACGGGCCACCACCTGGCTATGCCACTGGCATGTGACCATAAGTAAGCAGCCAATCCATTTGTGCGGCAAGTGGCATCCGTATTCAAGTACCTTTAAAACACGACGCAAGCGGCCTGTGTGACATGTCTCAGGAGAGGGAACAAAAATGGCCCTTTATTGTTAGATAATTTAAGAAGCAACAGCATGGCTACTATCTCACATGCCATTGTACAAACTAAAAAGTTGCAGCCTATTAAGTAAACGTTGAATGAAAAAGCGTACGATCGCACCTTCCCTTGCTGCAGTGTATACCAAAAGAAAGTGACAGCCATGCAGCCTGCTACAATCGTTTGGCCAGTTTTATCGAAGAAAATGTGGTTATCGTTAATGATCGTAATGGTAAGGAAAACAATGCACCACGTTCTGGAGTCTTGACAAAAACACCAGTTATCTAAGAAATCAATGTCGATGGGTACTTCCCCGCAATTAACAACGAGCTTACTGCAAGCACATGCGATTAAAAGGGACACGCTAGAAGACCGCGGAAAAGTTGGAAACAACGAAAGAAGCCGGTTCCATTCAGAACGTAATTTCGCGCAGGTCAAATTCGTCTGTGTTCATGACTTCGACACATTCCGGCACTGGTTATACATCAGTGGAAGTGACAAGAGGAGAAGATGGTTCAATACTTGCGACAGGACCACTGCGCACCATTTGTTGCCTCTGGCCGAAGACCAGCACCCGGTACACAGTTCTTCGCCTCATCACCGCACTTCGGTAATGTCAAGAACATCCACGATGGTCGCCGGCTCCGGCCGAAGAACAGCACAAGCTCCGTAGTCCTTCGCCTCGTCACCGCAGTCTTCGGTAAGGTCAATAACATCCATGGTAGGCCCAATTATTTTGCGCATGTTGGACCGCCTATCCTGCTCGTTAGACGAAGACGACGAAGCCCCCTGCATCTCCTAGCAGACGAAGCTTTGCCAGCTGGAACGTCCTGTTTTCGCGACAGTGTCGCGAAAACAGTGATACCAACTCTAGAGATTTATCCCAAGATGTATGGATTTCCAGCCTTCTTTGGGGATTTGTTGTCTTTTTGTTGAAATTAAGTATTTTTTGAAGGTCTGGAAATGTGACATCACGCGGCCTAACTAATGGCGTTACTAAGTGATCACGCTCTTTCCACTAGAAGGGATGTGAAAAATGATTAAGATAATCTTGGTTTTCTTAGAAACTGTGTGAAGAGAATAGCAGTTTTTGTAACAGGAAATTATTATATATATACTAGGGAAAATTAAACTGTTAGTCGTAAGAGGTAAGCACGCGCATATTATGAGCTCCATAAGAGATTACTGCACTGTGAAAGAAAGATAAATTTTGTCTTGTAGAGCACATAAACACGTGTCAAAATTGTATACCACTGCGTGCCTTCGCCTAGCAATGCCTCTATAAGCAGAAATAATATAGAACAGAGCGAAAATAGGACTCAAGACTTGGTGAGGTGATAGGGAGCGAACGGGTTCAATATTGTGAAAACGGTGTAATGAAAAAACAAACAAACAAGAACACTGTTAGGTTGTTTCAGTCTTTCCGTCGATGCCTTTTGCATGAGAGCGAAAAAGTGACGAGTAGATTTGGCCTAACCGGGAGATGATCGAAAGCACAGGGGAAAGGCACAGCTATCAGCAAGTAATAAGGTACCCACTTACATCTACTGAAGATGGCGCAACAGTGATTGCAAATGTGGGAAACTAAGAATAGAGCACCGGCTGCCAAGCTGCAGGCACAAGAAAGGCGCTACAGAATTGCCGCGCACCCGGTTGATACCATCATTTCTTCAATGCGTGTGCAAAGTAAATTTTGACATGCAAACCTTTCTCGGTGGCCATAGGTGCCATTTGCAAGCACTTTATAACAATTCCATCGAATGTGTAAAAAAAAAAAGAAACCTTAAAATGGTTAATGGTGATTTTACTTTTAACAAGATTCAGAAGAACATGGCAACAGAGCACACTGTCTTAATACTATGTTTTATTACAATCTAGGGAATTTCTGATGGTCAATCTAGGGACAACACCCCTCCTTGGGTTGGCATCACTGCCGCTCATTCTGCAACTTCAGCGTTGCGTGCGCAGCGGACCAACGTGAGAGCGTTCTCCAGGTAAAGCCACGGCTCGATCGACAGTGTAGCTTCGACTGTATTAAACAGCGTAGCGCAGCAACGCGCTGCGCTGTGCCCGCAGCAGGAAGCGGAGCATTCACTCGGGCAATATTCCGTTAGCTATTGCTCTCTATAATGTGCCAGTTGTGACTGTACGTGGCATTCTATCGCGGGTCCCGTAACTTTGATATGCGTGCTCTAGGGTTTGAAGGCACATAATATAAGGTCACGTAATGTAGCACTTTATATTAATACAGCGTAGAGAAATCCTCACAATGCGATATTCGTAAAAGGAAAGTGTGACTGTTTCTAATTCTACGCGGTACATGACTGTGTCTTATCCTATACGACCCAGATGTTGAGATGACAGATTTATTCCATTTTTTTTTTCAGATGACACAGACCAGCGGAGCTTCACGTGACAACCGCTCTATACTTTGGTGTGGCTACAATACAATGGGGCTCGCTGATTTCCAAAAAATATTGGCTGTCTTGTTCTTACCTCGCTTTCTTTTTCTGCCCATTTGCCATGATTGCGCATCGCCTAGAAGGCAGCTGCAATGATGGTTTCGTGAATAATTGTCGCCATCTCCTGTTCAGTTATGATAAATAAAATCTCTCCGTGGCCATTCGGAAATGTTGCTTATAGAGACTGGCTGTAGCGAAAAAAAAAGGGGGAGGGAGAGGCTTTGAACACATTTTAAACAATGCGAGCATGGAACCGAAACCTGCGAACTATCATGTAAGCGACTGATTGGTGTCCCAACGCATTTCAGGAGAGGGGAAAACCCTCTCTTCGAATTTCTTGCACTCTAATTCAGCCGCGTAGCTGTATGGAAGTTTCCTCTCATAAGCAAGTTTCCTTTTATCTATAACTTTACCTGCAACTACAGCAGTGCCGAAGCGCGACTTCCTCGATTAGCTTCAGCATTGGCACGTCACGAGTTATCACTGGGTACGCGGTTGAAGACAAGAGAGACGCTCGTTCACGAAGCACTCTGCTGTTGGTCGTCATTCCAGATATCGTAATACAGCTGCCGAACTACCAGCTTCGATACAATTGAGCCTTCGTCATATAAACAGCGCTCTCGCATTTCGGATCACTGAGCGGCGGAAAGCTTGCGGCGGAGTGCAGCTCGGCTGCGCCAAAGGAACCGAAGATGACGTAGTTTCCACGACGACACTTTCGGCAAGCTAGTGTGGGCGGAGCAAGACGAACTTTTATTTCGCGCATTCTAAAGCCTCCTGCTGCAACAACCGCGGAAAACATTACATCGTCGACAATAATGTCGATTCTTGCTGACAACAAAGTTTCATCGAGTGCTAAGAACTATTGAGCCCCCACCCTTTCAGCAACGTATGATGCCTTCTCTTAATTTTCTTCGAGGCAAGCGCGAATTCTTCGCTTTTTGAGATACGCAATATCGTCCACCTCGGTGGATCGGTGGCTATAGAATGCTCGGCTGCTTAACCGAAGGTGGCTGGTTCGATCCCGGCAGCGGAGGTCGGATTCCGAGGGAGGCGAAGTGATAGAAGTTCCTTGTACTGTGTGATGTCGGCGCACGGTAAGGAACACCAGATGGTCAAAATTTCCGTGAGCCGTTCACTACAACGTCTCTCATAATCAGTAGGCATGTGGCCGCAGATAAGAAGCGGACCCATTTGTGCGGCAAGCAGCATTCGTATTCCAGCAGCTTTAAAACACGATTCTATTGACCCGTGCTTTAAGGCTATAGGTTATGACATGACTCAGAAGAGTAAAAAAAAAATCCTTTATTCTTCGACAATTCACGATACAAACGCATGTATTTTGTCACACATCGCCATTGCGCTGTAAAAAAAGTTGGTTGTAGTCTTTCAAAGAAAGGTTAAACGAAAAAGCGTACGATTACATATCTTGCTGCGGTGTGTACCAGAAGAAAGTGACACACATTCAGCTTGCCGTCATCTTTCGACCAATTTTACTGACGATAATGAGGTTTTCGAAAATGATCCCAATTATTGAGAAAACGATGCACCGCGCCTTAGAACCTTGCGGTAGGACAAAAACATTTATATAACAAATGAAAGTCAGTGAGTGCTTCCAGACAATTCACAATGCGCTTGTTGCAAGCGCACGCGATTAGAAAGGGCCCTCTAAAGGACTGCTGAAGAGCTTGAAACAAGGCGAGCAGGCAATACCATTCTGGACACAATTCCGCGCAAGTTAAATTCATCCGTGTTCTCGACTTCAACCCATTTCGGCCCTGGTTATACATCAATGGAGTCGACTATAGGCAAATATGGACAAATACTTGCAACAGAGTCACTGACCAGTACTTGCTGGCTCCAACGGAAGACCGACTTCAGCATCGCCACCCTTCGGCTCGTTAACGCTGTCTTCGGTACGGCTATGGCTTCCATCGGTAAACCAATAAATATCGTCGTAGCACTCAAACCACCCGTTCTGCTCGTTAGGCGAGGACGATGAAGGCTCTTGCAAGCTCCCATTAGGCGATGACGGTGAAGGCTCCAGCCAGCCCCCATTAGGCGAGGACGATGAAGGCCCCAGCCAGCCCCAATTAGACGAGGACGATGGAGGCCCCAGCCAGCCCCAGTTAGACGAGGACGATGGAGGCCCCAGCCAGCCCCAGTTAGACGAGGACGATGAAGGCCCCAGCCAGCCCCCATTAGACGAGGAAGATGATGGGCCCAGCCAACTCCCATTATACGACGACGATGAAGGCCCCAGCCAGCCCCAATCGGACGAAGACGATGAAGGCCCCCGCCAGCCCCAGTTAGACGAGGACGATGAAGGCCCCGGCCAGCCCCAGTTAGACGATGACGATGGAGGCCCCGGCCAGCCCCAGTTAGACGATGACGATGGAGGCCCCATCCAGCCCCAATTTGGCGAGGACGATGAAGGCTCCAGCAGGTTCCCAGTCGATGAAGCATTGCCAGCTTGGTCGTCATCTTTTCGGCACGCCGATGGGGCCCAGGAGCCGTCATTGTAGATAACGACGGTGTCGCAGTCAGCGGGCGCGTTCACGAGAATCCACATGAAAAGGCGGTCTATGACCAGCGACGAGAACGCAGCCCGCTCGCCGCACACGGGACACATCCACGTGGGCCGCATCTCGTTGCTCAGCAAGTAGCTCAGCGCGTCGAAGCACTGAATGTGCTTGCACCTCAGCGCGCGACACGGGTAGCTCATTCGTTTCTTGCTCAAGGGGCACGTGAGAGAAGCGTGAACGCTCGTCACCTCGATGTCGTCGCCACCGCTTGCTCGCTCCTTCGCATTGATCAGCTGTTTGGTCTGGGTCATGCCCGGCGCAATTCTTTTTAGTTGCAGTTCGCGAAGAATCGTGGCCACCGATTGTCTCCGAACGAGGAACACGCCGACGAAGTACTCGCGGTCGTTCTCGTGCTGCCAGCTCAGCGAAATCTTGTTTCTTACGCCAGGACACAGAAAGCAGAAACGGAGGATGTCGACGGGCAAACATGCGCGCACTGTCGTACCACCGGGCGCCTGTACAGAAACAGGCGCCGGCAATAAGCAAGCCCGATCGTTCACAGTCACCTTCAAATTGGCCGGGTAGCTGTCCTCCAGTTCGTCGCGCCCGTTGTTTGAGCATAAACGGAGGTGCACTTGCACAGCCAACTCCGAATGCGTCCACGTGTCACGCGACAGCAACGTGAAGATTTGCCTCGCGTGAACCGGCAGGAACTGGAACTCGAGACACCTGTAGCACCGCTCTTGATGGGTTTCGCTCTTCAGGGGCGTCGCCGGCAGCAGTGTGGCCTGGAGATCGTAGAACGGTTGCCTCTTGAAGTAGATGGGCGGACAGTTTGAATACGGCCACATATGGAACACGATCGGCGAGCGCACAAAGTTGTCTTGGAAGTCTCGAGACACGTGGGCGACGAGGGACGTAGCCAGCACAGCGTCGTCGTCGTCGCCTGTTCAACGGATCCACGCAACCGGGTACGCCAGATGGACGAGCTTGCGTGCAGATGGTCTGCTCGTGTACCTGCAGCGCCACTAGCCAGCTTCGCTCGGAATGACGCGCTTTCTTGCGCTATCATCACTATCACATCGCGCCGGATTCGGCGGCGTGTCATTTCGCTGTACGCATTTGCTTCTCAGCGATGTAGCATCTATGGTACTGATAGCGTGGTTTAGCAAAGATGTAATAGACCCGTGACGGCGTAACCCACGTGCTGTGAAAAGAAGCTTTAAGGAGCTTTTCACCAACCCGCTTTCAAAGACGAGGGAGTGGTTCCCTCGTCGCCACTTAACTCTTAGAAGCGCGTGAACAATGTCAGCACCACGTGGTCAACGCTAAGCACAGGGGAGCAGCGGTAGCACCGCTTCTACCACAGGCGGTTGCGCGGTATACCACTAGAAATAAATCACGAGCGGAAAATTCTGTCATGACGTCACTAGTGACGTCCTAAAATAGAGGGAAAGGGAAGAAAACTGAGAGGAGGAGGGTTGCCGCGGAAGCCTTCCTTCCAACTTCGCATGCAAGCGAAAAACGCTCGTGCCTTCTTTCGGGTCCACCGGTCACTTGGGCGATACGGCCATTCATAAAATTTTGTTAACCTTTTTTTTTAATTTTGTTTGTAATATCTGAAGAGGCGAAAGTTAAGCAGACTGATTTCTTAGTAAGAGGAAACTCGATCGGCACAAATAAAATGAACTTTTTTATTGCATTTTGTATAAAGAAATATACAAACACGTAGTGTGGAAATGTCAATATATAAACGCAGCTGTCACTTACAACTGACATGCGGACATAATGAGCAAACATTGAACCCAGAATATTCGGACCAATGCGAAAATTAACAATCGCGAGTAGGACATGTCACATTCGTTATGATGAGGCACATAGTTTTCTTACAGAACTTGATTACCAAACGTGACTGAAGTTGAAATGAACGGAGAGGCTTGAGGCGATCAGGAGTATTTCGAGAAAGATTTTGATTGATATGGAGGTTTTAAGTCTCAAAACCATCATATGATTATGAGAGACACCATAGTTGAGGGCTCCGGAAATTTCGACCACCTGGGGTTCCTTAACGTGCGCCCAAATCTGAGCACACGGGCCTGCAGCATTTCCGCCTCCGTCGGAAATGCAGCCGCCGCAGCCGGGTTTCGATCCCGCGACCTGCGGGTCAGCAGCCGAGTACCTTAGTCACTAGATTACCGCGGCGGGGCTATAAAGCATGAAAGCTGCTTTACTTACACTTCCATGTGTACGCGACTGCCTCAAATCTTCCGAGTTTTGTTTTATTTCTTTCTTTTTGCGTGTGTTGTCCCGTGCGAGTGTCCTTTGGTCACTCGACGGGGCCGTCCGCCTTGTTTACGGGCAGCAGCGATCGGCGAGCCTCCCAGACCTGCGGGCGCCGGGTCGGCACAAAGGCGGCGGCCCGCTTTAATGCACCTTGCCAGTTCGGGTGCAAGAAGAGAGAAACATGTCCCTTTGTGCATCCGTGGCCTGTGGGACGTTAGACTCTGTTTCCCCGAATGGCTAAGCGACGGACCTCTACCAGTGACTTCGTGGAACAATTTGTGCACGTGCGTGTGTGTGTGTGTGTGTGTGGTGCGTGCGCGTTTGTGTCAGCGTGCGCGTATGTGTACTCGGATCTGTGGTCGACAGAGGAGAGCGAGAAAGCGCGGGAAGAGCCAGAGACGCAGCGAGAACGGCGAACGAACGAGAGTCTGCGAATTGCGAGCGACTAGAGCGGTTGTGCGTTGTGCGATGTGCGGAATTGAACGGTTGCGCGAGTAATCATTGTAACCTAGTTTTTTTTAATTAAATACAGCCTTATTTTGTTTTCATTTTCTTAACAGTGCGTGAGTCGTGTGTTGTGTCTTCTATCAATTTTCACCTTTTTACGGCCATACCGGCGACACCCTAATTTTTACAAAAAGCGGGATAGAGGACGCTAACACATGTAGAACAAGTTATTTTCACTACATTCACAAGCAGATGAATGGCTGTGTGGTCAATAAAGAAAAAATAAAGAGGAACGGCTGTGTTGCAGAACACCCGCTTCTTCTGCATGCCAAGCAAAAGTCCCAGTTTCGATCCTTACTCAGACACAATTTTTTATTATTTAACTTATTTGGCGTCTTTCTTCGTTTCCCGGTTACGCAAAGATGCTCATTTTATCGCTCACAACCAACGACACCAGAATTTCTTCGAAATGAACTTTTCAATGCTATCGCGTTAATAGAGATACATTGAACAAGGAGAAAGAGAAAGAGCCAGATAAAAGATAGAAGTACCCCTGGAAAAATTGATGGTGATCCTCTAGAATGGTGCAGATATCAACTATGAGACTACGATGCCAAGCCCCCCCCCCCCCCCTCCTCGAATTTTTATCTACACAGGTCTGGTCTGGCACAGTCTCCCCTATGTCTCCACTGCAACGAGAGTGAATCCCTTCACCATTTCCTCTTAACATGCAGGTTATATACAAACCAAAGGAAAAGACTGTTAGAAGAACCTCTCCGTAGATTGGCTCTAATTTATCCCTTCCGGTGGTCATTTCCCTTGAAGCAACTGAAAAGGGATTTAGCCACAGGAATGTTTGCTAGGCCGTATGCGATTTTCGTTTTGTTGAGATTTTCGTTTTGTATGCGAATTCACTTTATTTCAAACCACATTAGTTTGCTCGTATCTTTTATTACCTCTATTTATTTCAATTCTAATCTATCGTTTACCAATTGGTTCTTTGTTTAAAAAAAAGTTTTCAACTAGCAATAGTCGCTCCTCAGTTGGCACTTCATTGGATGCGACTTCTCAGTTGGCACTTCTTTGTTTAAACATCACTATTAAATAACCCGGCTGGTAAAACAATTCGATCTCACAAATGAGGCACCGTCCGTTTCATGGCCGATCCCCCATGGTCGGTTGCGCCAAGACTCTGAGGAACAACCAACAAAAATGACCACCCAGCCACGCTCATCCTTGAGGCTCGGCACCACCATTGTGATACTGCCATAATTTTTATTCTTTGTCGTGGTCCATATATACTTTTGACGCGGACTGCACACGTTCAAGGTTGTTTCAGCGAGAGGAGAGATACGCTTGCGTCAATGTTTGAGTCCAGCACTTCTCAATGGATTCGACACGCAAGCCAAATTGGTAGACGACGAATCGTCATGTCGCGTGACAACCGTATGTATATACGTGCAATCGCCATATTACGCAGGCCAGGCGTAGCGATGTGGGTTCATTTCTTCAAAAGAAGTGTTGCTCAAGAAAACACTTGTTTGATGTCATTGTTACGTCGTTTTTCTTGATTGCATCGCGTCCGTCTCGGAAGCTTGCTCCGCGTCATTTTCGTGAATGGCTGACTCGGACGCCAGTGATTGCGCGTGTAGCCACGGAATTCCCGCGATTTACGTGTAGACGACTTGATGTAAGGCAAGTGGACGTCAGCATTTTGCGCTGTTGAACGAATGTTTTGTTGCTTTTGTATCTCGTTGCGTAAAGTTTGATAAGACGATAGAGAATGTCGAATGCACCTACCCAAACCTTTTTAATGCGTGTGCGTCCACCATTGCACTGTTTGTTTAGTCAGGTATATCCAACGGCAAGGTTGACAGTCCAACATGGCGGCTCCGAAACCCATTCCCAAAATATTGTGAGAAAGTACTTCTTTTTATTATTATTTTTATCGATCGTCGCACTTTTCTCGTTCTTTTTCGAGTGTTGAGAGCGCAGGGTTACGGTATATTAGCGGATTTACCGGAAAACGAACGCATTTTGTCATCGGTACGCTCTAAAAAATATTGTCTAGCATGGCCTCACATTTTATCACCTGATAAAGTCGAGCGAGTCTTTTCGCGATTCTTTTTAGGCAACTCACCAAAGCCATGACAAGACGCTAATTCACTAAAGCGATTCTCTGTATATATATCTACGTTGCACTGCGCCCGAGTTGTGACTGTCATCTGCACTGATGCTCTCATTTTTTTCTGATTGTTCTCCTTCCCACGTGTAGAATAACCGACTTTACAAAGCTTAATTAGCAATATCCCATGTTTATCATGTATTTTCTCTACTTCTCTAACTATAATGTTCGCGGTTATATAAAGGGTATTATGGCACTCTAGGCTGTCATATAGATCTTGGGAAGGTCGAGAGCTGGAGACAAATGGACGTAATGGTGCCCCGTTTGCCGCCGGTCAAACCTAGCCCAAAAGTTATTAAGGCGAAAACCACAGATGTCTAACTATAATGTTCGCGGTTATATAAAGGGTATTATGGCACTCTAGGCTGTCATATAGATCTTGGGAAGGTCGAGAGCTGGAGACAAATGGACGTAATGGTGCCCCGTTTGCCGCCGGTCAAACCTAGCCCAAAAGTTATTAAGGCGAAAACCACAGATGTCGCACCAAACGCGAAATTCTATACTGGCCTCCCACGTAGGCGGCATCCGTATGAGTGAGTGGTGCACAAAATCATCATTACGAGATGTCTTCGCAATAGAGAGTTTTAGTACTGCGTACGCTGCGTACGAGGCGGCGTTGCGAACGTAAGGACGCCACGTTCTGCGTAGTGCGCATGCGCAGACCGCAACGCGCACGTATCGCATTACGTACGCAGCCGCTACGTACGCACGCATGAGATGCGTGCGTGCGTACATGAGGTGATCGCGCCACTCTAGAACAAGTTCGCGACAGCGCGAGACTTCGTGTTGCAAAATGGCGGCATGGAAGGCAAGCACCGACCGGCTCTGTGGCTTAAAATATGGCCATATTCTGGCTATAACACTTGGATTGGCTCACATTGGCTGTCAAGAACACGTGCTTCTATTTTGATCTGCCAGATGGCGCAACACGCTACACGCTCGTTACGTACGCGGGTACTACGGCGTACTAAAAGCCGATTAGCGACAAACGACGCCACGTAACGCAAGGCGCTTGCGTGATGCGTACGTAGCACCATTCCGCAGTACTAAAACTCTCTAATAAAACGCGCCGTATGGCGAAACAATGCGAAAATTGCGACGTAGTCATGACGAACAGACGGGCGTCATTGCACTCGACGCCACACG